ACCTATGATTACTTACACAAACTGAATTATATGGTTTATCGAATATCTAAACAGAGATATTCTTAACAATATTTTTAAAGTTTTATTTTAAAACTGGAGAAAGTAAATATTCCGGAAGAAAGTTCCTTTTATTTTGACATAATCTCTCATTCTTCATTTCTACATTCAATGAATTCTTAAATGATAGAAAAGATTTATTTGTTAAAAGTCGTCACCGTCAGTAAAAGTAATAACCTTTTTTCTGCATCGAAAACTCATGTCCCATTCATTTGGCCTCTAATAGTCGGCATCTTCCTTTGATGTTCTCATCTGGTGAGGTGAGGAGGGAAGGCGCATTTGTATTTACTGCGTCCAGTTCCCTTCCTTCCTCGTTGAAATTACATTTTATTTGATTTTTCCCATGTCTAATAAAACATTCTTTTTTTTTGGGGAACAAATTACAGCCGTGGAGACAGTTTAGGCTTTTTCTGCTAAAGTCTGAGTAATATTTGAAATGAATGTGGGTAATTCACTGGACCTCCAGACATTCACTGTTGAACAACAAAATTTGACCGATATCTATTTTTAATATTTTCATTAACTTTCTCCATCTTTGGCATTACTTGTTCACTCTTTCACTCTTTTCGAACAAATCGATTTTTGACATATGCAGCAAGTAGAGGGTGCAATTTGATTTTGAATTATTCTTTGACGCAGTTTAATTTCACATTTGATTCCAGACATTTCCACTTTTTTGGTCTTTTTTCCACTGACTAAGAGTCTACAAATGCAGTCGATACTTCTATCAATTCATAAACTTTCACAGTGAAGCATTTCAAAATTTGTTCCTACATCTTTCATTGAAGTAATTGGTAACTCTTTGCGTAAACCAAAAAATCTGAATTTAACAAAAACATTTCCACGTCTTAGTGTCAGTTAAGAAAATAACTGAAGATGTCTTCACGACCATAATTATGACTTTTTAAAAATTTATTATTTTCGTGGCTTGGGATATAATATAAGGCTTGAATGTGAGACAGTTTTATTAAACACTAGTTAGTTCTTTTTTTTCTTTGTTTCAAAGTGTTTTTGTTTAAAAGATAATTTATTAAAAGAAAACAATTGCAAATAGTTTTCCAGCAATGTAAATGAATTTGAAAAAAGCCCTGAAATATGATATTATTTTTTGTTTAGCTTTTCATATGAAACATATGCGAATCGATCCCTTTCCCATTTTCGTCTTCTCATTAATACTTCAGTGACGATATTTTTGCGGCAAGATCTGAAGATATTGTAGGCTTTTGCATAACCTTGACATCCACTTCCCTTTCTTTTTTCTTTTTCTGCTCTTTATCTCACCTCTTTTCACTCCATTCTTTTAAGTAGCACACACTGAATGAAGTTATACTAGACAAGTGGCAGAACAGCAGGGATTATATCAATAAATTTACGGTTATAAACCTTCATGCAAACCTCATTAGTTTACTCAAGATTCAAGGAGACTGCTATTTCTATTTTAGCAGGATGTCATTTGCTGAGCAGAATATCTGATTTCCTTTCTACAACTCTTTTACTCATTTCTTTCTCCAATTTTTGGTGCTATTGCAATCTTTTCTCATCGAAATAATTTCACTTTTATATTTTCAAGTTAAAATTTGGACAATTATTATTTTTGCTAATAGTATCATTAGTCATTCATTCTTATTTTCTCTTTCAAATAGTGCGTATTGCGTTATATACGATAGTCTTCTCCTCTTCACATGTTTCGTGAACAGATATTGGAATTGTCAAAATTTTCAAAAGAGATTAGATATCGCATGAAATATTAACATTTCAGGATCAGCGATTTATATCGTGGCAAAAATCTTGAAGTTAGCGGATGGGATTTTAGGGGTTCAGGCGCAGAGAGAAAGAAGTACTTACTAACTACGTTTGTAGGTTGGGCTCAGAAAATTGATATTGACTTACTGAAAAAAAAGTGATTGTGGTACTTTATATTTTATTAATTTTATCAGTTTCTTCTCATGTCTTCATTTTTAACATGCTTCAAATGGGTACTCTTCAAAGCGTGAATGATCTTTTCGATAAATGGCCATGAATGAGGTGCGGCTTTTCTCTTTGAATTTTTTAAAATTTTCAATCTAAAAAGAGCCGGTTTCTGATTCTGAGCTTATGTGCAGCTATTTGTCGGCAATTGTTTCTCTCTGTAACTACAATACAAAACCATTTCACCTTGTTTTCAGAATAAAAAATTGAAAAGAAATTGAAGACGAGAAAAAAAAAAAGCAATGTTTAAAAGCCTTTTTCGTCCGCGACGATCAAATAAAGAGAATGAAAATCAAGAACAGCATTTGCAACAAGAGCGGCAACATTCTGCCAATGAATTTGTTGGTATTTTTAGATTTGAATTTCAACTTCCTTTTACTAACATTTGGAAACAGTAATGAGATTGAGAAGTCGTTAGGGTTCAAAGCAGAAAATTCCAAAGTCCGAAATTTAATCAAGGTATCACTGTTTGATCTGATAATACAAATGGACGGATGGATATGTGTCTGTGTTTTTTTTACTAATCAATTTGTTCCGATTTCTCTTTCACTACTCATTCTCATATATTATCTCTCTTCCCTGTAAGTGTTATTTCATTTCAGGAACGCAATTCATCCTCTTATAAATCACTAAGAAGTGCGCGTGAAAAGCGGTCATTCCACTCATCTCATCATCATCGAGGAAGTGCAGGTACTGCGGTGGATGACGGTCTTCCTGTATCCACATCACCGTATCATATTGCCATCCAGAGGAAATACCCACGCGGTACGCAGTCATGCTACGATGGTCTCGGTGATGACTTCGATCGATTTTCCACCATGAATAGGTCCTTTGTTAGTGTGCCACATTCAAAATACAAGGTATTTTTTATAGATTTTTGTCCATATTTTCCTGATTTCAACACCACTGAAATCTTTCTGGTGTTGTCAGATAAAATTTTCTGGTTCTCGATGTAGTCTTTGATGTAATTGGAAGTAATGCAGGATGCAGAGGTCCTGGAATTTAGCAAAACTTCAAAGTATTTGAAATTTTGAAAACCATTCAGTAGTTCACATGTATGTGTCACATATTTTTAAAAGTTGCAGACATTTTCCTACAAGTTAATAAGTGAACTAACACCAACATGCTGTATGGAAATGTGATATATTGTTTATCATTCATTGCTTGATTTTTTTATGTTCTACTTTTCCCTTTATTTATTTAACAAAGCACTTAATTAATTAAGACTGTTTGTCCATTTCTAGCCTTCGCGCCGTGAATACATAAATATTATGCGTCGTAGTCGTTTGAATTCAGAATGTGACAGTTGTAATTTGTCACTGAACACTCCACTTCTCTATAACAGAGACTTAGATGATTCGGATGCAGAGACATGGAATTCGGAAAGGATTATTAAGGTTGGCAACTTTGGTTTATTGAAAATTTTTTAAAATCTATTTATGGAATTAGTAAATAAATATTTCACGTTTCATAAATTAAAGGAACTTCGAGCCGAATTAAGGGCTACAAACGAACGCAAGAATTATTATAAAGACTTGTACAAACGTGAACGGCAAGATAGGATACGTGATCGCGAGTTACGTGATCTGGTAGAGAAGAAACTTATGGATGATCTCAGAAATAAAGAAATGGAATGCTCCAATAATTTACTGCGAATTAAAGTTCTTGAACAGGTAAAACTTAGCTCGAATAAGCGAACTTGATATGCATTGTTTTTAATCGAAATTTTGAAATTCGATTTGATTTTTTTCCAGCAGCTCCAGCATCGCTCCAGTTTTCCGCCCACCATTCGTGAATCCTCCTTTCACGTTCCACATTTCTGCACACCATCATCATCTAATACTGGATCAACAATGGCTGGAGCAGGCGAAGCTCTGTCCAGTACTTCCGAACTGTTTGCTGTCCGAAGTGCCTATCTCATAAATCCTGTGTTCGGCAGCACGGGAGTAGCAGGAACGGCAAATGTAGCAGTATCTGGCAATCTCAGTGAATTACCAGATGAAATGAAAGTTTTCCGACAACCTGATGAATTGCCATTGGAATTAGCACGGAATAACAGTATCATAGATACGCCATTTGATGTTAGAAATGATAATGCAATAAAAATATCCGCCAATTCGTCAGGCGTTTCTTTCGCAAATCGTGAAAATTTAAATGGAACAGTACTGGAAGAAGATCGTCAATCTGATAATGGTTATGGCACCACTTCGGAATGTGCCTCTGAGCTTGTTCGAATTATACGTCGGGTACATAGTGATTCTGAAATACCACTGAAAGTCATACAGGCATAATCCATGCTATTTGTTTACATGTTTATTACAATTTTCTTCAACTACCTCCTCAAAAAAGTATTGTCATCATTTAATCTCGTTTGTTTTTAAGACACTGTTTTCTCATATTCACTTAAATTTAACTAAATCCGAATTCTTAAGCAAGACTTTGTCAAATATGAAACTGATTTATATTAAAAATTGGTATTTTCTTATTCTTCGGTGATTTAATGTGTGACTTAATAATATTAATAATAGCATTAATAGTGTTACATGTTATCAGATTTTTTCAGATAAAGAATTTGACTTTATGTATAAATTATTATAGTAAAATCGACTAAATACTGTCGGCAATTTGTACTATACTTCTCTTTACGGTCAATTATGCTTATGAACTGTAATATTTTGGAACAATTTATTTGTCACTCCATAAAATTATGTTGAGAATTACAATAACACATTTGTTATGAGCTTTGATCTGTATAAAACTTGCATGATAGCTCTCAGACTGATCAGGAACTTCACCGCTTAAATCGTTTAAATCCATTCAATCCCAGCCATGAACAAAATTATCAATACATCAGAATTCCTGGCTTTCTATCCGAATTCTTTGGCATTAAAAATGAATTAAATTTACTGCGTCTTCATTTCAAAGGCTCTTTTGGTACTACATCAGGCACTCGTTTATTCTGTCATGTCTGATTTCTATGTTTGGCAATAATTTCCCTTGTCTGTGTTAATATCTAAATAGTTTTGTTTCATTTATTTGATATGAAATGAAAATGTGTTTGCCACAAATATATCTTTGTCTCGTACTGAAGATGAAGAAAAGAGATTACAGTTTCATTTTCATTACATTATATATATAATTTAGCAGCTATTATATTTTGCGCTTATATCTGCAAGAATGAAATGTTTCAGAATTTATCAAAAACTTCTTATGTACCATTAACAATAATCGTTTTCACCATTTCTATACTTGGTTTCTTCATGAAATATTCTTTGTCCAAGAGATAATCATAAGCTCCTCTAACAATGACATAAGACCAAATGACAACTGTCGCTCCGAAAAACGACAACACAGCCAAATTGAATGGCCAGATTGGGCCAAAGTGATTCTCCAATTTATGTATGCTGAAAGCATGAATAATTGAGGTGTACGGAATGTCGATATTATTGTTTCACCAAAAGGGAACAACTTTAGCAGCCGAAACCGGTTTCGAGGAAGGTCTCTTCAGAGTATCTCTTTATCGATGGATGAACATTTCTCCTTTAATTTTCAACTTCTCAAAATTTTATTTTGTCCAAAAAAATGTTTACAGGAAAAGAAGAACTCTCTACAGTTTCTTTTAAGATTTGCTGGCATCATTTCAGAAAAAGAAACATGAATAATTTATTTCTGCACAATATGATAGGTTTAAATGCTTTGTAATCATGAGGATGTGAATAGAGACCTTTGGAATATAGCATAAGCTAGATCTGTTTTTTTTATAGTTCTTTTTTTTTTTTCTATTTATTAACTTACCTAACATAAAGACCGAAGAGCCTATGAGTAGCCTGTAATCCCATAGACATGCTTGTTATCGATGCGATTGCTGAAATAATAAGAATTGTGACTTCGATGTGCATAAATGCCATCAGTGGCCAAATGTATTTCGGTTTTTCTGCCACAATACCATAAATCTGAAATTTTGCAGTCAAAAGATGGACAGTCGGTACTATCAAAAGATGGATAGCCATTCACATCAAAACCTTCAGACCTGATGAACGTCAAATTAGCCATGCAACAGTCATTTCAAATACGATTGCAATGCTAGTTCCAAAATTTATTGATTTAATGTACTTGATAATCGAACTATAACTAGTTTGATTTATGACTATTTGAATCATCAAGAACTGTCTCAATGTTTCGATACTTTTCAACCTTACCAGTTATGCGTTATGTGAAACTATCCTAGTTAATTTTTATGTTAAAAAAAATTAGGTAATTAATTAATAAGCAAGTGAATAAAAGAAGCCCAATACCATTAGAAATGTGGTGAGTACTGCAAAAACAAGGAATACGACTAATATCACGGATAACCATATACGAATATCTTCCTTCTCAAGTCGCAACCCTGTAAATTCATGAATAATTATTACATGAGGATTAAAAATTTTGATCTATGAACTGAACGAGTAAAAGAAAAACATTCATTCACTGTAGCTATTAAAAGTGATTTATATCAGACAATAAGCAGGTCAAAACCAATCATATCTTTGCTAATGAAAACTTACTTAGGAATATGAGTATAGCTATAATGAATAAAAGAATCTCAAGAATTCCGCAGAATATGGCAGCGTTTCGATAATGCATCAAATAACAAAATGCTGGTGCCGAATAGAATTCATCATCTTTGTCGTAGATAAATGATTTCTTTTCTTTCTTCGACTTCTCATCATCCACTGCCACTTCTCGGGATTGAACAGCAATTCTCACTAAAGGCATTTTGCTGAAAGATTTTTCTATAACTTCAACTCGAACTGGATGAATTTCCATATGAAAGTAAATAATAAATCATATACAGTCGTGGTATTCTTTTGATACAACAAACTGCAACATTCTATGGCACTCCTTCTCCCATATTAGAAAGTTCCGTATGGATTTTGCATGGAATCACTCTTGACTACGAATTTTTGAAATCGAAATCAATACGATATTCTTGCCTTATTTGTTTTAGCAGGATGTTTAACCTTAGAAAGAGTAAATGTTGAGAAAACCGGTAACCGCAATGGGAAAAGGGACATAAGGGTGACGAAAGAAGTGTAATGGAGACGTGGTCAAAATATTATCTATAAAAATACTGTTACAATGAAAGTAAGACTTTTTATTGGAAACACATCGCAATAATGTAGGGAACTTCCTGAAATACAAGAAATAAAGGTAAGTTAACAATTAAGTGAGAACTCAATGAATAGGATTTATAGATATAGGAACATCGGGAATATCTGTATGCCTGTTATTTAGATAAATAAAGTGGAAAGGAGATGGAAATCAATTAAAATCTTTATTTCTTTTCCTATAACGCTTCATTGGAGGATTGATAATGATGGTGGATACGCTCATTGTCATCTCCTTCCTTCCATCACTACTGTTACAATCGCCACCTTCAATGATGACCTAATTTCCCTACGTTGGATTATTAGAGAGATGGTAAGTGTTATATGGTATCAGAAATAAATCATTCTTCTGCAAAAATTCATTCATTTCTAGAAAGTTTAGGACTTCTTCTTTACACCATAGAATTTGTCATTTCCATTCAAATGTGATTTGAATGAATTCCTCCAAATTTCCGCAAAAGAAAGACAAACTAAATCACAACGATGAAACTATGGTACAATATATTTTCGTAAAGGGCAATGAAGTTATGGAGCGTTTTGGTGTCAAGTATAGCGTTCAGGTTTAATGGTAGTAAAGAATGAGGAATGGCAGGGATATTTCTTGAGGAGAGTTCGGTGTCAAGGTACTTTCACATTATCGGGCTTCCTCTTCCTTCATTTCCATTTGTCGTTCCGTTTTTTGCTTTCTGTAATAAATACAGATGTTAGAGAGGAATTCGTACTGAATGTAACTCTTTGCTAAATTATATTTTGACCTCTGTTTTTATCCCATGAGAACTCTTTGAAGTTATTTGCGACTTAATGATTTTTACTTTCGTATAGGAAACGAAAATTAAAAGAAGAAGAAGGTCAATGAAGATATGGAGGAGGTACATGAGAGCAGTAATGTTGCTGCTAATGAACGATCTATTGGGACATTAAGAGGAACTGTACAAATCGAAATGGACAGTACTGTGGCCATGGTATCTTTATTTGATATTCCTGGACTAAGTCTGGTTTCGTCACAAGATGATTGTTTTGCGAACATAATTCAATATGGTTAATTCGATATTCATTCCCTCCTTCTTCTATTTATAAATGAAGCAAATAAGGAGTAGCTATTAGACGTGGCATCGTCATTATAAGAATTGAAAGAATTCCATCTTGTAGTTAAGCAAATGTGAAAGTCATCGCTACAATTTCTTCAATGATCAGTTTTCAATTTTATCTTTCTAATATAAAAATGATTTACTTCACCAGATTGTAAAAAATCGAACTTGATTGAACGAATAAATTGTCTGAAACGAATGTATTTTAATATTACGTATAGGAATAAATTTTCCATGTAAATGAACCACTGTACGATTTTCTTTGATTATTTACAGCATATTTAGGAGAAGATAAAGCTATCAAGGCACAGAATACTATCACAGGATGAAGTGCCTGAAGCAAAGGAACGGAAAAGTGGTATTGTTTATTTCCAGACATTACCACCGAACTTCACTGCTTCAAGAATGCGTGATGAAATGAGTAAATTTGGTGAAATTGGACGAATATATTTGCAAGTAAATATTTTATTGGCTTTGAAGAATTTAGTACCAGTAGTGAATTTTTGTTGTATAATATAGAATCATTAAACTACTTCATTTTCATATTACTGCTGCGACCATTAAAAATTGCTTTGTAGAACTCGATTTCACGATTTTTTCTCACACTAATATACCTCAGTTATATAAAGTTTCATTTTTTGCACTGCATCTTATACATACAGGCTGAGAAACGGCGTGATGCAAAAGGTAAACGAAGAAAACGATTTGTGGAAGGTTGGGTTGAGTTTAAGAAGAAAAGCTTGGCAAAACGAGTAGCTGTATCATTGAATAACACAGCGGTCGGTGGGAAACGACGAAGTACTGCTCGAGAATCTCTCTGGACAATGAAGTATTTAAGCGGGTTTGTCATTTTTCTCATTTGATCTTTGACTCTCAGTTCTGAATAGATTTTCAAACCAGAGTTTTGTCTCATCCCATTCTAATTTTAATACCTTTGCATTTTCACAGATTTTTATCTGGAATAGACCAAATCTAATTGCTCTTGACTTATACATGCTTTCCATTGTATTACTTTTGTAGGGCATATCAGACATCGCCGAAGCATCTATTTGGAATCTTTCTACTATCAATTAAGTCCTCTTTCCAGGTTTAAGTGGATACATTTGGTGGAACAATTAAATTTCGAGCATCGGATCGAACAACAACGAATGCGTGTTGAAATAGCTCAAGCAAAACGACAGGCCTCGTTTTTTTCTGATCAAGTAGAGAAAGGAGAACAGTTAAGAAAGCTGGAGGAAAAGGTAATCGAGCTTCTCGGGAGTTTCAGCTAGGTCACATGGCGTTTGATTTCTGTAATCAGTAATTATAGCTATTTCTTTCATGGGTATGCGTTCCTGTACCGTGTATTTTCACTTTAGGTCTTGAAGAAAGGTGGCATATGGGATGAGTTCCAGCGACAAGTGCAACAACGCTCAATGATGAAGAAAAATAAGAAGCATGAACATAGCGATGGTCAGCTTTTGCATATGATATTCACTGGATGAATTCATTTCTGCAAGGGATTACTGTTGTTATTTTGTTATGCTTATAGTTTTTTTTTTTTTTTTCTTTTTTATTATGTAAGGCAAGCTATTGTTTGTAAATGGAAGAAGGGAAGTACCATTCGTTAAGAAAGTATGTCGTGTCAGGCAGAGTTTCAGTCGCGGAAGCTTTAAAATCACCTTGGATCACCTTGGCTGTCAATACTGTTTTCCAGAAGGTGTTTTTCAGATCGATATTTCTGGTCTTCGTTCAGTTTAGCTCCCAGTCAACTTTAGTAGACTTTGAACACCTCATAACTCTTGCAAAATTCCCATATTTAGTACAATTAATGTGTTTTTGTGTATTATGTATTTCCTGTTTAAATTTTGGCATTACTCTGCTCGGTAAAGTGTTGCTATGTTAAGCTTACTGATAGGTCTGTACCTGATGTTATATAATTGTCTAGAAAACATTGAGGAAAATAAAGCTTTTGGGTGTTCATTGGATTAGCTTTCTCAGCCAATGGAAATATTTCTTACAAAATAACAACGAAAAAATCACTTTCCCCCAAATTATATCGCAACTCGAATCACAACTAGCAGCTAAGTAAAACAGTCTCATTGAAAATAAATACTCATTTTCATGCCTGAACATATTGCACAGCAAGTCAAAAGTTCGAAGGTGCTGAGAATCTCTTTATACTGAAATAATTTCGTACGATAAAACGTACCTGTTGTCGGGTAGTTTTAGTTGTAAATTAGAACATGTAACATGACAATCCCAAGTAATCCAGAGATCAGCCATGCCATTTTAAACAATTCAAGTACTTTCTTTAAGAGCAAAACAATCTTGAATACAGAAGTACCGTGAGTCAACACAAAGAAGCAGCTACCTAAGATAAACAAAAATTGAACGAGTCTTTTTAACTTTCGCGCCTGAATGTATTTTAATAGAAGGGTCCGATATTTAAAAAGAAAAATAAGAATGAGTCTGATGTTTAATTACATATCCACTCTACTGCTTTCATCAAACATGACGAGGAAACTGCAACGAATATTAATGGAAAAAAATGTGTAAAGAGGTTAAAAAGCTCAAAATTTTCGTATTTTCAAATTTTTAACGAAACCATATTAAACATAAACTACTGCGAATAGTAATATATGAATTTTCCTACATAGTTCCGTTTTCATTCACTAAGATCAAGAGGCAGAGAGATTAACTGATGGTAGTTTAGTAAAACGAAGGACACATAGTAACGAGGAGAAACAGAAAGGATAAATCACCAAATTTAAAATCGTTAAAGATAGCCCTTGAACACAGTTAGTTCGTACTAGGTTTCCTTTTTTCTCTCTTTCACTACCAGCACTTTAGCAGTACAGCATAAACTTAAAAGTTGTTAAATCAAAGAATCAGAATAAGGCCTAGATTTTGACCAGCATAACAATAATGTAATTTAATAATAGAGAATAACATTAAAACTACCATTTTTTAGAACAAAAAGTACACTATATACAAAACACCAAACAAAAAATAATGAAGACAAATTTATGTTAATATAACATGCTGAAAATCTATATATTAATAGTCACTTGGCTTCATTTGCATTCAATCATGAACTTAAGATTCCTGATTTTTCGAAAATTAAAAAAAAAAATAGTACGTAAAATTTATGAAAAACGATTTCAGAAACATTTTTAAACAGATAAAGCAAAAAGAAGTGACTGAAGTTATTCAGAAATTTTTAAGACATTTCCTCCTACAGTTCATTAGTTATCCAACTTCTGAAGACAAAAAATTTGTCCGTTAGTATAACGCATACAGAAAAGACATTTACTTTTTAATGATAAAAAACCATTACTTCACAGAGGAATTCACATAAAAAAGACAAAGTAAGAGTGAGTTGGCAATAAAAGTGGAAACGAAATTTTAGAAAAGGAAATAGATGTGGTGATGAAGGATACTAAGAGAGGTAATATGTACACCGATGAGCAATACATGCCTTAAAAAATAGATTGAGACATAGAATACAATTTACGGTTATGCCGCATGAGTTAAAATGCTGGTTAAAATTTCAATTCTTTGGACAACCATTAGTATGTTCCATCGGTGCAAACTCCCATTTCTGCCGGCATAAGGGGCACACTGGATAAGCTACTTTTTGTGATTTTGTCCATTTCACGATACAATGCATATGGAAGGCATGACGACACACACCTATGGCCTGAAATTAAAGAAGTAACAAAAAGATCTACTACAACTGCAAGAACTGAACTTGTGAGTATAAGTCACACATAAAATGGATTTAAATTACATAATCTAAATACGAAATAAGAGCTGAAGTTTAACTTACCTATTTGCCTCTCACATAAGCACTGTTTTCCTTGATATTTTACTAGCAGAACGAATACAAAAGCCAAATTAGAACCACAACAATCAATTTATATATGAGCTTTACATATTAGAAAACATACAGCTGTGAGGTAAATCAATTAAAAAAAAAAATTGTAATCATAAACAGTACTGTAGTTAAAATCAAAGTATATAGAAAAAATGATAAATTAACTACTGCACACACAAGCTGTCGCGCACTGAAAACCCATCCAGAAACTGACAAATAGTAAAGCAGTGACTATTTTTGCCTCAAGTTATACTGTAAAAAGCTTCCAGTTCATTTTTAAGTACTGTAGCAAAAAGAACTAACAATAGGACATTCGTCACCAGGCGTGTGACACGTAACGCAACAAGAATCAAACGTTTCGCGACAAATTCCACATGGGCCCTCACCGATACTCCATCGCCATTTCGCCGCCACCTTCAAAAAATATTCTGTGGAAAATATGAAAAAGCTTTAAATAATCACTTGTTTCAATGTATAAAAATAGGAAAAGATATGCTAACACTCCATTTACGGACGGAAAGTTTGAGACGTGTCTGAGTTGGTAACTTGTAAATCGAAGGTTTGTCCTTGGCACACAATAATGATTCCCCTTTTTCAGCTTTCAAATCATTATGCCGTGCGCTCTGGAAATATCTAAATATTTTGTGAATAAAAATTAACATGAGATAAATTTCAAATACTTGAGCCTTTAAATCTGCTGAAATTTTTAAAGATTCAAGAATAGGCAATACGTCGCCTAAGACCAAGTTAAGTTCAGTTCATAATAATTTCAGTTAGAATTTCGAAGACAAATAAAGAGAAGGGAAATTCTTATTTGTTCTATTCCTCTATTTCCACGAGGGCAGAATATGTAGGTGAAATAAACATTGGTAACATGTCCTACTAAACATTTCAGTTCTGTAATGCAATATGTTGCATAGATAACAAGGACAGAGAAATGTTTCCTCGATACATTGTGTTGTCTTGTCTTTCATCAACATTAGTCTTCTCACCAATCAATAAAATAAAAGTCTTTTACAATTAACAGTATTAATAGTTGTAAGGTTAAGTAAAACTTTTTTTTCTTCCCAAATCTTCGAAATGTTCAGCAGGTCAGATCTCAGTATAAGACAAAAATATTTGCGAAGAATTATCTAAAAATCTCCTCACAAAGATAAACAGTATTAGCTGACCGATTGCAGCATATCTCTTCTCCCTTGAATATCAGTTTTCTCACTTTTGCAAGCTCACTTTCTTTCATACAGCAAAGGAATATATGAATACTTGAAACACTTTATATGAACCAATAACACGAAAAAATCTGAAAAATCTGATTTGCTGACTTCCATTCCATCCAGTACTGCTTGTTTCATACCTTAATCACGTTGTTATAATCAATTTAGTTTTAGTGAAAAAACTGAGGAGTAAAAGTGCTACAACCATCTTATCAATTATCACTATTGACAATACAGTGACAAGACTTACTTTGCCTTTCCTGTAATTTATTCTCATCAAACACTTCCCAACGAAAACACATATTTCTGTAAAACACTGGAAAGAAATAACAGTTTTGTTTAATTCCTTTTCAAAAAAGGTAGACCTAGCAACCATAAAGTAGCAGAAGATAATAATGAACCCAGTGATTTAATTCTCACCCTCATAACACAAGATAAGAAGCAGAAAGGTCATGTTCTAATCATGTATTATGAACAATTTTACCGCTATCATTTACATCCTATCTGATTCATTAAGCCATAGTGCAGAACATATGTCTGTCAGCTAAATTTACTGTGTAATGATTCAATAAGCCGGAATTTCAGATCTACTGAATGGCAACACATGATGTGGTCTTGTACTATTTGCTTAATGCCAGTTCAGCACTTTATCTTTCGGCTGCTCATAACGCTTTATACTTTGTGTTAGGTTGGCATACTGTTGTGCTGCATTTTTGGCATTACTGTTTGACATTCTGTTTTCTATTGCTCTGCTCAGTAATTGGAATGCAACGATGGAGTAAGCCATTACCGATCAGCCCATTCATATTACCAATCACTACACAAATCATTATTGTTCTACTTTCGAATCGTATACATTCACAAATACGCTCAGGTAGCTTATACTTACTCAGGTGTGTTTCTTATCATAAGTCCACAAAAACTGGAGGAAGGGTAAAAAACAAGTACGTTCCTTACTCTTCTATAAAGGTCCGGGATTACGAAAGTGGAATCTCGTTTGCAAAATTTTTAAAATTCCTATAATCGAGTCGTAAGATATGCTCCGGAAATTTCAAATAGGGCAACATTGTTCGCTAGCTGTATGTTTCAAACAAGTTATACTTCTTTTTAGCATCTGTAAAGAAATTTAAGAAAAAAAGTTTACAGGATTATAAATTTTAGAGTATTCGACTTTTTAACAACAATTACTGTGGCTAAGTTCTCCAACTGGTTACTCAGATCCGAGAGGAATCCCCCCATCAGCTTACTGGTATGTCTTTATTTCTGAATTTGAGCAGTTTCATGTTGGCAAGTGACCAATTAGCCGCCTCTCGAACAGTTTTAATTAAGTAAATTCCATATGAAAGACAATTTACTAGTGCGGTACGAAGAGATAAATACGAACGTGAAATTAGTATAAATACGAACGAACCACTGAGCACAGCCCTAACATCTCACGCCACTACAAATCAGCGCCTAGAAGGAAACTAAAGATGAATCAAACATACAGATTATCCACAGTGACTTTTTTATAAAATTCAGGCTGCGAACGTCAACAATGTTCGTCGTGCAGGCCCCCACATACAATTGTTTGAACAATGAGTGCTAAAGAAGCAAGGAGTGGTTGGGGAAGTAGCAGGGTTGTGGTGGTTTCGGGAGCAAAAGTTTTAAAGTGGGAATGTAGTTCGAGGGAGGCTTAAAGTTTAAAAAGAGTGAAGGTAAGGAGTGGGTGGTGGAAAATGGTTGACAAGATATCTTCAGATCTGATGACATGCATGTTCCTCAAGGAGCGTGATTACTTTTCTATTGAATAACTGTGTAAAGTGATATGTGAAATCGACTATTCAGTTATAGTACAGCATCAAAACAGGACTGTTTTTTCAATGGCCTGGAACGACTTTCCAAAATTCCACTTAATAAGGATGTATGGATCGATACTGCCAAACTTGGATATAATTCTAGTGCAACGTAATGCTCTGCATCGTACGATTCATTCATGTTATACTTCCAAATACAGCGTGTCTTACTTCGAACTCAAAATAACATCACATCATGTTTAGCGAAATGTTATCTATTTCAGAATCTATTCCTTTAACTCGCGTACAGTCTTTGATTTATTTACCTAAACCACTTAATTACTTAAATTAATCCTATTTTTTTTTTTTACAGTTGCTTAAGCTTTTACTGATTTAATTACTTAAATAGCATCTTACAGCAAGTTATTTCTTAATCGCATGAATCATATAATAAAGTCAATAATCTGGTTTAGAATTAGCTTGTATTTCTATAGTTCTGATTAGACCTACAAACACAAGTTTGGATTAGCAAAAAAAAAAAAAAAAAAAAAAAAAACAGAAAATTGATAGAATGCTTTCCTTGATCCCATCAAAAAAGGAAAAAAATTGGTGTGTCAAGAAGAAAAGAAATCTAATTTAAGGTGCAGTGTTCCAGATATTTTCGTTTCTTCTTGACCAGCAGAAGTAATGAGATTTACATTTTATCAACTGAAACTTACATACGTTACTGCAAGAGATTATCAAGTCAAACCGTTTCCTTGTTTCCTACTTCTGTTAGTGCTTTTTGAAGATGAACTAAATGCCTCTTCTTGTTGGTTATGACATCCAGTGATACTACGACACTGCATCCTGCCAGAAAATTTCCAATAATATTTCTTGTTGCTGTCGTAACTCCACAATATCGACATATCGCGCTTATGCAATTATAGTAAAGAAATGAGCACACAGTAAATATTAAATTACACCAACGCTCCACTGGATATCCATTGCCGTGGTTTCAGCTACTATCAGCCTTCTGTGGAATCGTTGCTTGGGATGAACTAGCAGTCGTCACGTGAACTGTTGAACTGTCGAATTGCCGAATGTGTCGAAACTATCAGGTGGAATCTGTTGAAGCTGAAATATTTTTGTTCCTACTGAACTCTAATGCGTCGTTCCACTATTCTTTACCTGTGGAGTATGTGCTATACATATCCATGCTTTCAATTCATTGGTCTCTTTAAAATTCCTTATTTGACTTTTTTAACATCTGTCTATTTAGCTACATTTTTCGGCTTCACCGATATATGCAACATTTCTCGACTTACACGGTTATGAATTGGTCGTATTCTATTTCCTTCTCATTCCTGTTGGTCGTTACCTCGTTTCAATTCCGCCTACTTTTTGAAATATCAACCATTCTGTCGATATTAATTGCTATAGATATGATGACACGATTTTTAGAATAACACCATACATATATTAACCATCTTGAGGAAGAGGGAAAATATTCTTTATCAGAAATTGATGTACTCATGGTTGACTTACAGTAAATTGCATATAAAAATTGAGAAGTAAAAATCCTGTCCTGTATCTTAGCCTGACTTGACAACGACTTTTATTTTGCACTTTATTTAATAATTTCACGAATCAATTGGAACTGTGCACGTTATCCGTGAGCTTTTTTCTCAATTTCATTTACTCTTTTACTTTTTCCACTAAGTGAGCCAACCATTACATAAGAGATTTTTTAAATGATTTTCAAGCAAGTTTCTGAACAAGAATTTCAAACTAAACTCTTTTCCAAACTTGGAAATAACAAAGTTGGAAAGAACGGTCTGCACATATTCGTAAATATAAATTTAAATAGAGCAAATTCATTTAGAGAATTGAACGCACAAAATGTGAGAGTTCTTAATTATTTGCTAAGGAATTCTATTCTCAGATTAATGCGAGAATACCATCGTATGTTCTGTCTATAGCAATTAACTGTGTTCTAGGAATGAACGTCTTCAGTTTATTACGTGTCCACTGATTCATTTCTACAGCGGTGGTTACGTTCGAATGATCTGTATCGTTAATTAAAAATAAAAGTGTCACATTTCAGATCATTAAAATCAATTTGAATTTCTAAGCATTCGGTTCTTGGAAGAATTGTTTTTTCTTGACATTTGTCATTTGTCAATTTTAGAACATTTTGAAGGGCTTCAAGCTCTATCAACTTCACAATGCACATACAAAGGAAGATGAGAGGTCAACGTTGGGTGACCTTTGTATAAGTGCTATTAGATTTTGTTGCTTGCTGCCCACCATATACAATCCAGGGTATCTTCCGCTCTCTCAGTCAGTTCTGTCTTAGAAGAAGCAAGGTGCTATGTTTTAGCATTACGATTTTACATTGATACTTAGGCGTCATACTTAATTTGATGCTTAGATTTCACATGACCACTCAACTTATGGGTCATCTGTCAGTAAAGTGACGCAAGGATATGTTTAAGTATCCAGAATAAATCATCATTCTTGTCTGTTGTTGTCAATTCGAACTACCTAATAGCGCCAGCTGGCATCAAATATAAAATATATAAATCGTTATTTATGAGTTGCGAGATTTCCTGAATTTTCTAGAGAAACCAGCATAACCATAATCAGACAACAACTCAAATTGTTATACTCGACAGTATTTGTAAAAAAACAAAAGGCAGAAGTTCTACTGATTAAGAGGTGCGCAATAAGTATCTTATAATTTGGCATCATTAAGATTCTAGAGTACGTATGAAACCTTCAAGCACCTTTTTTTGTCTAGTTCTGAAGATTGAAATTTTAAGGCTCCAATTGCATTTGGTGGGTCATTGAGCTGGTTGGAACTTAGCTTGATCGAATATGAAACCTATTCACTCATTTTTGCACCAGTTCTAGCCATCTTACAAGGTTTTCAAGTGCTACAAATACAGAAATGCTATCAGACGCTTAATGCTAATCAACCAGAAACATTCATCCTCTACTTTACAGGTGAAATAATGATTAAAAATTTAGTCTTTCAACTTTTAGACAGTAATGATAGAGACACAGTTGTAGTGCAAATAAAGGTAGCACTTTAAGTTGTAAATTGCATATCCATGTCATGTCAAGATCCCTAATGCTTATAATGACGTATTGATTTTTTTATTTGCAATTAATTTCTGATGATGCGTTTAATGAGTCTAACTTATAATTGGTCAAGTCAGTTTCTTTTTCTTTCTCAGTAGAAATTATTTTATGGTATAACAAATTTTAGGCTCTTCTACCAAAAATTTTTCCTTTCTCTGCAAAATTTATGGTTCATGCACTTTAAATACTTCTGATAGTAAAATCCCGAATTTTTTTCAGGCTTTACAACAATTGGCCTATCAGTTCCAGCATTTTACAGCTGGATTAATTCAACAATCTCAGCTGATGCTTCATGGGAATCTATCGATTACGTAAGTGCTGTTTCTAAATGATTTCCTGACAGACCAGACCTTGACCCTTATGAATTCCTTTATTTCAGCTATTGATCGGCATGTCACTAATGTTCATGCCGAATTACAAGTACTCTGAGATGTGGCTGCAACTCAATTTAACAGCTTATGATTTTATGGTTTTGGAACAAGCCAAGTTCTGGGCTGCGAGTATCGGGCAGTGGTTGGTGCAAAACATGGCGCATGCAACAATATTTGCTGTTACTGGAAAAATTATTATGCTTGGCGCTTTGATGCGATATTTCACTGAAATTAAACGGCCACAAAAGGCTGACTACAATAATCTGTCACAAACATTGTTTAATTAACAATTTATTATATCTTATTCGTTCTCAAAATTTCATTTGCAAGTGTTTGTAATTCGATTTTAGTTTCTCAGTTATAGTCTTGATGAAATTTTTAGTCGTTGTCAGCACAAATTGGATATAAGATTGCTTTCTCTTTGTGGAAGTGTCGTATAACGATTTTATTAAATCAGATTTCAAGTTTCATTAGCATTTGAATCAAAACAATCTATCTATGCAGGATCACTGTCCTGTTCTCTTATTATTGAAAGGATAAATGAATGAGAAATATTCCGTTTCCAAAAATGACACAATTTGTTCAAAAAACCGAGCCTTGTTTTCTATGCAAAAAGTTTTAATGTTAAGAAAAGTTATGTAAAATTTCATCAGGTCTTAATTTCACTCTAAGCTTTCAGGTAATTTTCAATTCAGTTTCATTTCAAAGAAGGAGATTTTCTAAAATAAGTAAATTTTAAAAATTTTGAAGACTTTGAGATTATTGATTGTGAAGGTGTGATTTTATCAATATTAAAAATCTCTTAGTGAGATCGATGATCAGGTTGAGAACGGTGGGTCGTAATTGACATTTTACGGTTATGCAGCCGAATTTTGTTATCTTTACCTTATTTAAGTGGACATTTCA